TAAACTCTATTTAATTTTTTGTATTAAATAGGGGAACTTGTCGGCAAATAAAACGGTTTCGCAGACCCAAACGGATGTCATATCTTTCTTAGTTTATTTGATCGAGCCTCACCCTCAAGTCTTGTGTTTATCCCTTGGGGTAGATACAGGATTTGAGGTTGAGTGCTCTTTCATTTAAACTATGGAAAATATGAGGTCAATTTGATTTCATATTTTTCTAAAATTATATATATATACGTAAATTAAAAAGTCCTTCCGAAGCGGGCGACGGGATTTCGATTCCGGCGACCGACAGCTTCTTACGGGCGACCCACAAACAATAACTTTTTCCCCTCTTAAGCGCCGACAAAGTCTTAAAGATATGCCGCTCAAAATTGGCTTAAAACAAAGAACTTCACGTACCAACTGCTTCGGGCGCTTGGGCGCAAAGATGCCCCCTTTTTTGTTGAACGCCTAAGCATGGGCGCAAAGGCTCTCAAAAGGGTGCAAATGCACCCCCTCTCAGTTAGCGCGCAGATGTTGGATGCTTGAGCGCCCAAAGGGGGCGCAAAAACTCCCCCCTCTGGGTTTGATTTGAGTGTTGTAGGCTCAACAATCACAACAAATTCTTGTTTGAGTAAAATCTAAACCCCAACCTCCTCCCCTCATTTCTTCCCTCCTTGGTATCTTCATCACACAAGCCCTAATTGCCACTCCCTTGATAAATGTTGCCTCCCCAAGTAACTATGCGCAATCGTTGCACAAGAAAAGTGTCACCCACATCTTGCATAATCCCAACCCACTCATTGATGCCACTTGAGTGAATTCAACTGCTTATCGCATAAACCCAAACCCCTCCACCAAGCAATTGCCACCACCCCACTCTATTCCAAATTATTGCAAATACACGAGTTATTTTACATTGTATATAGAATAATTAAAAATTCCAAACACTTGCAAACAAACAGCCATGAGTCAATCAAAAAGACCTGATATTTTTCAAAAAAATAATAAAAAAACATGCCCGGCATATGATTGAGCTTCAGAAAGTAGGAAAAACCTCGGTGAAGAAGCATCCAAGTTCTACGTGGCATATTGCGCACAACTTAACCAATCAAGAGAATCAACCACTAGCAAAGCAAAAGGACATGTAATAACCAGGAAGGTGCCAATACCTTGGCCAGCGGAATCCTAGTACAAAAGGATAGACCACTCAAGATCCATTGCAAAGTCAAAGTAGCACGCTGAAGCTTTGGCAATTCACTTAGCACAACACATAATGAAATCCCACTTTTAGTAGCAGAGTTGGCTCGGCTGAGCAATTCCTCGGTTCTTAATATAATGTCATTAACAGTTGTAAAACTAGAAGCATCTTCCAAAAATGATGCCGTCTCTTCTACCAACAAACAGGTTTTGTGTTCCCATTCATAAATGTCATTTAGAGTCATCTCAAGTCTTTCTGAACCAGGCAAATTAACCTTCAAACATTTAGAAAGTGTAACCAACTCCTGCACAGTTTTAAAGAATGTTATTTTAAATCAGCAATATATGGTCATAAACGGTTGATGAATAGTGATAAGATAAGTGAACCTCTAAATCCTCAATACCAAGTACAGGACTCAATTTATCCTCAGCTCGTCTATTGCATGTTAGATACAGTTGTGATCTACAGATCCAAGTCTGAGCCATTGAAATTGTCCCCTTGAGATCAGACAGAGAAGGAAGAATGGTGAACACATGCTCAGAAGCCCTGAAATGTTAAGAAAATAGAGAATTTTAGATAACTTTAATAGAATCAGAGGAACCAGTACTTGAAAAAAACATCTTTTTCCAAACACCTTAGAACATCTTCAAAGTCTGCCATGCTACCACCGTTTGTAAGGACAAAATTAGCTCTTTTTTCCCATAAAACAGCTTCCGCGTCTACTTCAGAAAGCCTCAAAAACAATTTTTCATTCCTTATGTCTAATCTGAAAAGAAATTAAAAGAAGCTATCAGAGCCAGACAATTCATAAGAAAATTAACAAAATCATTTGACATTTTTTCATTTCTTTTGGAGTGGGAGGTGGCAGCAGATACTTACAAAGAGGCCTTCATCAATACTTCTTGAATGAATTCAAGAGGCATCCGAACCTGAAGAACCTTTAAATCCATATTCATAAAATACATATATCAGAAAAATTAACCAATTTTTCAAAGATGAAAAAATTGTTATCAGTTCACAAAAAGCAAATTTTAAACAATTAAGGCTGAACAAAATTACTCGCATGTTTGCATTAGAAGGGAAATAGCATCCAAAAACATGTTTGAGCGAGAATCTAAAATAAAATTAATTTTTAATACGCAATAACTACCTTCACTGCTTTCTCTCTGCAACATGACCTCTCCAACTCAGCCTCAACCAGTTGCAACTCATCCACTGTTAACAACAGCACAGAATTATAGTCAAATAAAAATGAGATCTGAAATTTATTAAACCATATAAATAGGCTGCACCTTCAATTCTCAATGACCTTCCAGATTTTAAGATGCCAGAAAGCTCAGCAACAACGTTCTCATGATCTTCACGATTAGGAAGATTACCAAGGATATTATAGAAATCATGTCTCCATGAACATGCATCTGAATGGAAATGCCTCAAGAGGTCCAACTCTGGAATGCAAACTCGCACTTTATCAGCATCCTTCAATAAGCTGTCAAGTTCCTGCATATCGTAAATGCAACTGTTGCCATCGTATGAAAAATGTTCATCAAAGAAGTGTGAGAGTAAAACCAAGATAAAATTTTAAATACCATAAACTTCAGTTTCAGGGGGCAGGTCAAGATCTCCTTACAACGAGAGTGCAGCAATTCAACTTCTCTGCAGAAGTTTGCAAGCAAATCCATCTCAGGAAATTGAACGTGAAGCTCTGCCATCTAATAAAAGCAACAGGCCACATTAAGAAAATTGCCAGAAAAAAAAAGGGAAGAAGAAACAATAACGAGAAAGCAACAGTCAGCCAACAAACAATTATGAGAGAGAAGTGCTGATCAACATTGTTATATGCGCAAAGAAGTGTGTGCTTCCTAAACGGAGTGATAGGTGGTGGAGCACGTCTTTATGGTCCTAGCCGAAGACAATAAAATACTCATGCATGTAAATAGAAAAAAAAAGATATTGATAATGATAAATATTTATAAATACAAATTTAAACTGTGCTTCTATGACGAATGTATATATATATAAAAAAGACATAAAAATGTAAATGATATAATACAATATAATGGATGTTTTGAAATATCTTGAACGACTATATTTGAATAATAGCTGTCATATAATTCTACACCAATTTTTAATATTTTAAATAAAATGCATATTCTTTTCTTTTCTGTTATGTTGGTGTAACTTAAAGTATTATTAATCACTTATTTGTTCATAGCTCGCCATATTTTAAACTCACCTTTTTAAATTTAAATCTAAAAATAAAAAATGATTAAAAAATGAGACAATGTGTATAAAAAATGAAGCCAAACGTGACCAACAAAGAAAAAGGAAAATCCATTTATAATTGTTTTATTTTAAGTTAATTGAAATTCATTTTTTTAGTGGCTCTCTCAATTTATTAAATTATTATTAATTAATGGCAATAACTAAGAGTTCAGTTTTCAACGATCGTGTGTCTCTACCTTAAAAATTTTTCAAGCTCCTAGATTCGATCATAATAGGTAAACAAGCCACAAATTACTTGTTTCTAAATTTAAATAGCATTGATTAAATTCAAGATTTTTAAAATAAACTCAACTCATTTCAGAGAACTTATGTAATGAAATGAAATTCAAAGTTCATGCTCTATTATCTAAATTGCATGTCTCAACAATTTGTTGAAAATTGGCATCAAAAGTAGTTTATACATAGCTAGTAAAGTGAATCTATAAGCATGTCAAGTACTTATGTACAATAGAGAACTTGTGAGCACTTTGGTTAACAATAGTATAGCTCCATTATGCAATCTGTGCTTACAAGCAAATTAAAAATCTATCTATACATTCGGCTTCACACTGTGCTTTGCGTTTACAAAACACGGGGTTTGACATAAAAAAAATTCCTTGAGAAAGTATCAAAGAAAACCTGCATACCTGTGTCTTTAACCTATTTAAGGAAAGAATATCAATGGCTCTAGGTCTTTCTTTAAAAAAGAACGCTTGCACATTGTTCAGCCAGATCTGCATCATTAAAACAAACACTTGACAATTGCATCTAAAAGGAAATAATGAATCAAAATAATCAAAAAGATTTGAACTACTATTGAAAGAAGTTCTGCTATAGTAGATTTCATGGAATTTATGCTCCAATAACAAGATTAAGTCACAAAGTAATTAAAAACTACCAAAGAAAATTTATTAAGTACTCCAGAAAAACAAGTAAAAATAGCATTTGATAAACTTGAATAATCTACTAAACTATTCGCACACTGTAAAGGACATTATAATGTAACAAGCTAGATAAATGCACATCATTATGGCATTATCAGTAGAATAATATAGTAGAACATTTTATGCATAAAAAAAGTATCTTAGATGGAAACTTGGGCAGTTATTACATTTCAATATTGTTTTGCATAGAAAATTTTGTTCATGGCATTGAACAACGAGAAGAATGTCAAAATGGTCGCTAAACTATTTATGGGGGTAGTTTTAGTCCCAAACTATCTAATGCATCCACTTTAATCCCTGCACTCTTCAAATCAAATCCAAAACAGTTCATTTATTCTTCAAATAGAATCCAAAATAATCTAAAAGATAAACTATTTTGGAATATTTGAATATTCTAGGAATTAACATGAATCATTAGATAGTTAGGAGCAAAATGGTTCCATACAAATAGGCCATAAACCATTTTAACATTTTTTCTCATTGAACAACTAACCATTGCTTTCTTAAAAAAAACTAGCAGAACAACAAACTTCAATTACCACGTATCCAGAGTTAGTAGAGTGAAAGGAGCATAAGAAGACAGTGAGCAACAATATAGTGGTCTGAATGGCTCGGGACAAAAGCTGGTGAATGCAGCAAAACAAAAGCTCAACAATGAAGAATTTGACTGGGAGATGCAATTATATAGTTGTCTTGTTCAAATGCTGCAATGGCAGTATTTCTGATGTTAATGAAATGAATGTTACCGTGTTCTACCACAGTTTCTATCAGCATTTGTGAATAATGAATTGAAGTCTTCAACAGATGACAAAGAGCTAAGCCATTTAAATGCAGAGGCTTCAATAATGATTTGGCAAAGCTTACAAATCGTAGAAGCTAGATTTGAAATTAAATCAAATAGTTAGAACTCACAATTTCTTAAAATGATGCAAGCTGAACCCACTATCAATAACTGTGATAGTTCATTTTAATTCGGAAGAAAAGCATTACTAGAGCATCCAAAGTTTTCTGGGAAGATTTGTCCAGGAAATACAACTATATAGTTGTTTTTTATCCAAACACAAATGCTGCAATGGCAGTTTTTCAAAAGTTAATGAAATGAAGGTTACCATGTTCTACCACACTTCGTGTCAGCATAATTGAAGACTTCAACAGATGACAAAGAACTAAACCACTTAAATGTAAAACCTTCAATAAGGATTTGTCAAAGTTTGCAAATGATGCCAGTAGAAGATTATATTCGGAGAAGCAAGAATTGAAATTAAATCAAATAGTTAGAACTATCATTTCCTTAAATGATTCAAGCTGAACCCACTGTCAATCATTCTGATAATTCATTTTAATTCAGAAAAGAAGCATTACTAGAGCAGGCAAATTTGCGACAAAACTATTGGCATGGGAGCATGAATAACGCCGCGGGCTGATCGGCTCTCCTAGGAAGGATTGGCGCCTCCTTTCCATAAGGGGGCCCAAACCAAGTCATTTAGGGCTTATATAAGTGATTCATCTTTTCAGGTCTACAATTTTTGCTTGAGATTTCTGTCAGGACAGCTGCCGGCATCATGTTTTTCCCTCCTATGGTTGTATCCAATGAAGAGAAAGTGCTCCGGCTGTAACTCGTCTAGAGGTGGTGTGTATCATTCCTTCTTCTGCATGTTTCCGCCCCTTCCAACCCCTCTACAGCCTGCTGCAGCCACTTCCAACCCCTCCACTACCTGCTACCACCATTCCCGTCAATCTGCTACTTGTCCGGCGGCCTTTCTAGCCCACTTGCTCCTTGTTGTTTGCTACCGCCCCTTCTAGCCCATTCCTTGCTTGTTGTCACCCCTTTCCACCCTCTCCTACTTGTTGTCCAGTCATCGGACAGCCATACACCCTTATTCCCCTTGCTACCACCACCATCCCATTGTCCTTCTAGCTTTCTCGCAGCTATCAACCGCAGGCTAGCCTTCCCTTGTTGCCCCTATACCACCCCACCACCTACGGATCTGAGTTTTCACCAACTCGAAGAGCTGCACCCCACCTTCGAATCTTACCCTGGAAGGTATTTGTGTTTGTGTCGTCATTTTTCCTACTTCAAGCATCTTTCATTATAACCCTATTTGCTTTTGAGTAATGACATTCACTTTCTCAAGTCATTTTGGTATCAGAGCTAACCTAATCCTCGTTTTATATTAAAGTTTATAACATCCCACCTGCAGTTGAAGACATCAGCAGAAGCATGCCTCAAGGAGTTGAGAAGATTGGCCAGGACAAGGATAAGGCCACTCAGAGTGAGAAGTGTAGGAAGATTAGCACATCAACTACAGTCTCGGCCCAAAAATACTCTAGATGCCAAGGACTTGGGCGCATCGCCCTTAGTTGCCCGACGAGTAGAGTTGTGTCCTTTTACCAGGCAGAGCACTGAAGTTATAGATGAGGAAGCAATTAAAGGAAAGGATGAGTATCAGCTTTCACCTGATGAGGGGAGAACTTTCTAGTTCAATGAGTCCGTCATACTAAGGCACCAAAAAAGCAACAGTTGCTTCGCCACATTATATTCTACACTTATTGCACTGTGAAAGGAAAAGTGGACATCATCATCATCTATGGAGGAAGTAGCAAAATTGTGGCGTCAAAAATAGATGGTGGACAAGTTGAGCATCATGACTCCGAGATATTCCCAATCATATTCCCTGACATGGTCAAAAAAAGAGTGCGGGATCAACATTGAAATGAGGTGTCTCGCGTAGTTTTCGATTAAGAGTCAGCTGCAGGATCCAGTTTAGTATGATGTGGTGTCCACAGACATTAGCTATTTCTTGTTGGAGAGTTTTTGGCATTATAATCACAACACTGAACCTAATGGGTATAGGAACCTCTACTCATTCACCAAAGATGGCAAGTATATAACACTTCCATGTTCTGTGGATTCCAAGATTACAAGTACCCTTGCCAGCAGATAAGCATCGAGAGAATCAAGATTGGAGATGACAGGGACCATGAGAGAGAAGAGCTAGTAGCAGACATAGGATAATTAATACAGAGAGAGTTTCAAGACATCGTATTCAATAGCTTACCACCCTGTTCACCACCATTCAGAGAGATCGAAATTGTCCTTGTCTCATATCGAGTTGAACCAACCTTACGTTGTTTTTTTGAGAATTCAGCAAAATACACTTGGCAGGAATGTAGATTCAGCTCAGAAGGGCAACCCCAGATGGTTGGATCGATACTGATGCTTGCTCGGACGTGGGGAAAACTCCTCAGGTGCTTTGGGGGACAATGCATTCTCCATGGTATCCAGGTGTTTCTCGGACCACAGTCAAATAACCCTCAACCACGGGAAATTACAATAATTGTGATACTTTCCACGTGCAGACAAACGAGATCAAAGCTCCCTCAATCCCAAAGACTGACGTGAACAGGTGGGAGCAGCGTAAAGGGAGTTTTGGGCTTCTTCCACTATGTTCTTCGCAGAACCGAACCGAACTAGACTCGGGAGGGCCGATAAACTCTCCAACAAAGGATTAGCACCTCCTTTTCAAAAAGGGATTCGAGCCTAGTCATCCAGTGCTTATCTATGTGACTCTTGTTTTCAGGTTTGCAATTTTTGCTAGAGCTTTCTATTAAGATAGCCTCCGACATCCACTTTTCCTCTCCTAGGGCTATATATGAGGGCTAGAAGGTGCTCCGACAGTAAATCGTCCAGTGGTGGTGTGTATCCTTCTTCTGCTTGTTGCCGCTCCGTCCAACCCCTCTACTGCCAGTTGTCGTCCTCCCCTTTTACCGACTACTTGTTGGTGCCCCTTCCAGTCCACTAACTACTTGTTGCCCCTTTCTTGCATGATGTCGTCCTTTTTCACCCTCTCTTGTTTAGGATTGTAAATTTAGCTAGAAGATTGTTAACCGCTCAAAAATTGATTCAAATTTTGGCTTGAAACGAAATAAACTAGTCGTGCTATCAGCCCCAATTTTTGAATGAATTTAATTTAGTCGATTTCAAGCCGACCCTAGCTCGGCTCAAAATCTCATCGTTAACAGCCCTAGTGATGTTAGGGTTGTGAAATTAATTATTTTAGCTTGAAGATCGTTAATTGGTCGAAAATTGATTCAAATTTTGGCTCGGATCGAAATAAACAAGCCATGTTTTGAGCAAAATATTTGGATCGAATTTTTTTCAAGCCGATCTTGAGCCGACCCAACTCGGGAAATCGAAATGTTAACAACCCTATCCTGCTTGTTGTCCAGCCATCGGACAGCCCTACACCCCACTCCCCTCGCACCCACCAACTTCTCATTACCCTTCTGGCTTTCCTCAAGCTATCCAGCAACATGCCAACTTTCCCAAGCTGCCCCCAAACCTACCACTAACAGCTTTCAGTTTCCACCACCTCCAACAAAAACCCACCACCTACAAACCCCGCCTTTGTGTTTGTGTCATTGTTTCTCCAATTTCAAGCGTCTTTGACTGTAAGCCTATTTGCTTTTGAGACATAACATTTGCTTTCCTTATTGTGATTTGGGTTAACTTTGGTATCAACTATTATCTATAATTCTACATTTCAAAAAAGCATAATGCATCAAAAAAAAGCAGTTCTGATATAGATCATCCAATCATTCACTGCATATACAGTATAAGTATGCTCTGTCAAGCAAAGTTGCGAACTTGAAAGTGTAACAAGAATATAAAGAATGAAAAATAAATAACTTCTAGGAATTATTGTGCTAACCTTCGCAGAAGAGATTTTGGATGATAATATTTTAGTTTCTTCCACGTCAATTGGAAACTCCATAGCTTTCGAGAGTATAACTTCCAGTTTTTCAATCTATCATAGATCATGTAACGAAATACACAAAGAAGCTTAATCCATTTTTTCATTCAAACTAAAAAAAACTGTGGCCATAATCATAATTAAAAAAATAGAAACTGTAAATTACAAAGCTTTGTAGAGTATAACCTATAGTTTGCCAATCGATCAAAGATCAAATAAACAAAGACAAAAAAGATTACTCCATTTTTATGTCCATACCAAAATTGTTAGCAATAGGCGGTATGAATTTAAAATAACTGGAGCCACAACCATAATTAAACGTATTTAAAAAACTAATATTTTAGCTTTCTGCACGTCAATTGGAAATTCCATAGCTTTGGAGAGTATAACTTCAAGTTTTCCAATCTATCATAGATGAAGTAAACAAATGCACAAAGAAGCTTAAACCATTTTTACGTTATGACTAGAAGTTTCAGCAGTAAGCAGCACATATCTGTAAAAATACGATAGCCAGAAACATAATGAAAAAAGAGAAACTGTAAACTACAAAGCATTGGACAGTATAACCTAGAGTTTTCCAATCTATCAAAGATAAGATAAACAAAGACACAAAAAAGATTAATCTATTTTTATGGCCAAACTAAATCTGTTAGCAATAGGCGGCACATATCTAAAAAAGCTGGAGCCAGAACCATAATTAAGAAAAAAGAAGGGAATAAGTAGCAGTCATAAATTATAGGAGAGCATATTAATTGAAACAGCACTATATTAGATTGCCAATTAAAACTTCATTTAAAGAATTAATGATCAATCATCAAACAAATCTGTAAAAAGGAAATCAAAGGCAAAAGGACCTCATCACCAGTGTTTAAAATAAATAAATAAATAAATAAAATGCAAAGACAGTACCAGAGAAAATTCAGCTTCAGGAAACTAAAAAGCATCGATCTCACTTACATCTAAGCAAGATGACAAAGCTTTTGTTATTTTACTAACCAACTTCCTCGCAACATCTGCATATCCCTGAAAAGTAAAAACTATAGCCATTGTGAAAATATTTGAAAAGAGTGTGAATATCTAAAAGAAATGTCAGAAACATAATTAAAAACCTTCAACTTGAGGAAACCCGGCTCACAACAGGGTATAGGATCAATGCTCAGAATCTCCTCAATTTGGTTTAATGATACTTTGTCTACTTTATCACTCCTCAATGAGAAGCAACTCTCTAGTCGAAATAGACAATCTTTTACACTGAGTGCCCACTTCTGAGCATCAATCAATTTACTGAAAACATGGCGCACCTGACAGAAATTCCAAGAGCAATAGAAATAATATAATTTTTAGTATGTTTATTCAGGAAACTGAATAAGCAATGGATGTATAACCATACTGGATCCATGTCATGCCCAGCCCAGAGAAATTGTTCAGCTTCATTCAGCATAGCAGCATAAGCATTATTCGAAAATGGAATCTCCAAAAGATTGCAAGCTTTGGAGAGCCAATCTTCTGCAAGTTCGACAAAAGTGACTTGCCCGTTTTTAACCTAAATATGAGACGTGGTTTCAGAGCCCAATACATCTATAAGAGAAAAGCAATTAATTTTCAGCAAAGAAAAATTTTTATTATTACATCATTTGAGAAGAAATCAAAAAAGAGACAGCATGTCAACATCAACAAGTTATTATGCTTCCTGCCTAGAAATACAGACATAGATGTTTAATCAAGGAATACAAGCCATGAGAATGCCACATCTCAAAAATAGTGTTAATATGCATTTAAAGCTGAATTACTGAATAAGATTAGCATATGTGCCTGTCGGTACATTGAAGATGATCGTCATTAAACTTTATTTGACTATGGTGGGCAACTTATGCATCTAAGATAATTGAACCTTTGGGGATAAAGCCTAAGTTGCACTTTCGCCAAATATCCTAGGATGCTAGGATTTGTAACTGTTGGCTCCACTAAGTGCTCCCACAACAATTTTGTGTTAGTTGCAATAGCTGTTGTAGTTTTTATTTGAGAAAGGATTGGTTGCTAGTTCATTAAATTCCAATTCTGACATAGAAAGGATATGATAATCTATTTTGCAATTTTTAACAATACAGATGAATTTTTTCGAATTCAAATTTATTGGATTGACTTTTTTGGCAATATAGTTCATTAGGCGAATATTATGACTGTGATCAAATCTCGGTATGTTATGAGTTTACAATTTTTTTTTTATTTTTTTTGCTGTAAAAAAGAATAGTGAGGGATTTAAGAAATCGCTCAACTGCTTAATAAAATTTCATATACAACTAAAGCATGTGTGTGATGGTTGAATATTAAGGAGTGAAACGTATATATTGATTGGCAACTGCCATAGCAAGTCTTCACATTATACCGATGAGATCTGAAACTTTTATTTGGTGAATTCTTCCCTTGCTACTTTTTATCCATTAGATTTATGATTAGTTTGCATATGTGATTGATAAGGTCAAACTTTTAGAATTTGCTGGTGTCACATTATATTGTAGCAGATTTCATGAATCCCAGATCACCAAATTTTTTATCTTTTTTATTTTTAAAGGCTGCATATATATGTGTGTGTGTGTGTGTGTGTGTGTGTGTGTGTGTGTGTGAAAGCCCAAAGGCTATTATATTAAATAGAAAATAGGATACAGATAGATTGTGTGGGAGAACCCAAACATGGCACCCTGCCCACACGATAATCACCACATCAAATGGTTCTAAAAAGGAAAAAATACAGAAAAATACATGAGAGACCTATGAAAAACCAAAAAGTGTTAAAATACGAAGTATCAGGTAGCTAGAGAATGACCCAATATAGATACATACACGTGTGCGCGTGTGTGTTCTTCTTAGCAATTAATTACGGGCCTTTACCAGTATTATGCATGTTAATATTTTAGCATTTTCATTATTTGTCTCCTAATGATAATAGTCATTTGTACGATTTGCATGCTTGGGTTGATTTGCATGAAAATCATAGGAAATGAAAAATTAACTATAAAAATCTAAAACTATACTTGACATACAAAAGAGATATATGAAATTTATATCAGTGAAAAGATAAAGTTATGCCCAAATCCTAATAGGATTCCTACTTGATATTTAAGAACTGGATAAGCAATAACATTTAAAATCACCAATCGCATTGGGATAAATGGTAATAAATTAAAAACCCTCGACATGTCTGCTATTTATCTTGCATGTATTTGATTCTACTTTATAAAGAAGTAGCTACCAATGAGATAATTCTCTTTTTTCATCCCTTATAGAGCCACATCTAACATGTTACCAAATAGCTCTATACATCTTATGATAAAATTATGTCAACTGTTGATAGTGAATATCAGACATATCTTCTAAATTGACATGACAAAATAACTTGTGTGGTTCATGAATTAGCTTACAAAAAGCACAACAGCTATGCGTAGATTTATTTGATAAATACCAAATGCTCCATTTCTTAAAAAATAAATTTTCATCTAAAATGTCTCAGATCTAAAAGGATCTACTTGTCAGAAACACAAAATATGTGCATTAAGAAAAAACATTTGATGATATAAGCATTGTTACTACTTTAATGTTTTTATTTTTCATTTTTTTTTTAATTTTATATTGTACCATTTTGGGGTCTATAGTGATAATCACTATAAACAAAAGGTTCTTCTATTTAATGATTGTGTTGGTTTGGTTCATTTGATATTTGCCGCTGGTTCTCTAGTTCACAGCAGCTAATCCAATTGGTTTAATACTGGTTCCCTGCAGCCATGGTTTTGGTGTAGTTCTCTGCCATGCAGCTCAATGTTAGATCTTTAGCTGTTTCTTCCATGTTGTCATTGTCCACAGACTCTTTTCAATGGATGGGGCAGCTAGTCTATTATTAGGGGTGTAAACGAGCCGAACACGAGCGAGCCCAGGCTCAGCGCATGTTTGACTCGTTAAAAAATATCACTGTTCGTGTCCAGTTTGTTTATATTTCGAACACAAAAAGTGTGTTTGTGTTCGACTCGCTTGCTCAGTGAGCCGAACACGAGTTGTTCACGAACAAAAAGTCGTTTTGACAACCCTAATCTCACAGCGGTAGAATGTTAAGGGTTGGGGCAAGATTTAAATCTTATGGTTTATATTAAATCATAATTTAATATATTTTTATTTTATTTTTTTAATTAATTATCTTAATTGATTATAAAACTTTGTAATTTTGTGGTTAGTTAAATTTTTTAAAAATAATACTCATCAATATATATATATATATATATATTAAAAAAAGCGCAAGGGTTAATATATTAAAGAGAAATGATACAGATATGTTTTATGAGTGGGTCCAAAAATAAACATCCAACCCACACGGTACAACACACACAAAAAAAGTAAAAAAGGGTACATATAAAAATAAAAAAATGCCCAAAACCACCAGGGCGCAGAAGAAGTGAGGTTCATTTATAGCAGGAGCCACCAAAACATTATATTAAATTCATAGATTCATTGTTCCACTAATCGCTCTTCCCTGTTACTGCTTACTGGAAGCATCATTTGCAATTATTGTTAATAGTACCAGCAGAATGTTTGGGGAAGGCTAGAATGCAAATTTGTTACCCTTCAGTCTCCGACATCGTAGCAGCACTGAAAAAAATTCACTGATTTTCTTGCAAATTCTGGCATTATTAATGGATACGAGGCTTTGAAAATTTTCACGGTTTGCTTGTTTGATTTTACATTGCAGCTGATTTCGTGAATCCATGATCCAATAGATTTAAGATTCTAACGCTATTATCTGAATTTGGAATTTTAGAGGCTACAAATTTTGTGTTTATTTCATGATTAGATAATAAATTATTTTATCTATAAAAATAAATAATTTCAAAAATAAGCACAAAGTATGCATAAAGGAGTTGCAAGGAATACAGTGCCAGCCACATTAAACAAATTTAAAATAATAATCCACGTATCCATGTCCCTACAACAAGCAATTATTTCTGCATCTACAACTGAAATGACTTTTAGGACGAAGCAAAAGGTAAAGGAAGAACGTGTAATAGCAATTATTAGTTCATATTTAAGTAAATTTTTGAAAAAGCATAAAACTCGGAATATTCAGAACTCAATGCCAGATAGGACTTGAAACCATCCCAAGATGACGCAAGTTCCAAGATTAAAATTAAGAAATTTCCAACTATTTTCCTCCAGTGAGTAAATTACTACTTCAAAAAAAATCGTCGTCTTAGCTGAATTCAGCATGCAACTCTACCAAATAAACCACTTGAAAAGGGATGCAGATCCACATTTCCAGGCAGATTGTCCATTAAAAAGCAATCAATACCTACGTAACACTTACAAAATCAACATGATCAAATTATAATTTTCTTTGACACAATAAAAGATAAAAATTATCAAGATCAAAAAAATAAGGTCAACAAACAAAAGTAATAAGAACATTAAATGGAAAAAAAGGCCCTATCTGTAAAGAATATATTCATGATCATAAAGCCTCACTCCTAATATTGAACTTATCTTCTGTAAGAACTAAAAAGTTAGTTCAATAGCATGGAAAGAAATAGAACGATCTCCTCTCAATATAAAAGTTAATTTCAGTAGGTAACTGAAGGGGAAAAAAAAAATCAACAAAGCATGAAGAGTAAATAAAAATAACACGTATGGAGAGCAAAAACCATAGCTCCCGAACATACTGACGAAAACCATCAAAAACATGTCAAGCACACACGGAAATGAGAGCATATGATAAGCATTCCATTATTTTTAAAAAAAATTATTTGTTTGATAAGTTTATCAAAATTATAAAAAAAAATACATCAAAAAAAGTGACCTCTTCTTTATAAATTACTGCAAAGCGCCATTCTTTAGAGGCTACAAAATTTTATTAACATCAAAACACACTACAAAGTAAGATGGAAGAAAAGCAAGTAACAGAACTGAGATAGAGAATAGATAACATAAGAAGTAAAATGCTCATAAAAGTTAAAATAATGGTCCAGCATAAACCTTCTTTATAATAGTAATTGAACTTTGGGGAGAGAATATATTCTGCCGAGAATTTTTAAGGTAAGGATTCTTGAGAGACGTCATATGAGATATGGAAGGAGTCATTGATATCAAGTCATCAAGTTCTGCAAGAGAGTAACGATATAGAAGGCGATGTTGGCTTGAATCACATTCACAAAGATGCTTCCAATGCTGCACAAAGATAAAATCATGTCATCAAAGTTTTCTGGATTATACAAGATCACTTAAGAAAATACTGCATTAAATTAAAAAAATGCAGTTTCCATAGTCAGGTTAACAGGAATTAACGTGAAAAAGTTTCATAAGAAAATTGGATAAGAGAGGTTGCTACAGAATGATCATAACAATAAATAATTTCCACAGAAAAAAAAAAGCATACAATAAATTTAAGGGGCCGTTGGGGGTAACTTATGAATTTTGTGTTTTTTTTTCATTTTTATTTTATTTTGTATATACTTTCACTTAAAATAAAATATGTTTGATATGTTATGGCATGTTTAGTTATTTTAAAAAGCAAGCTAATTTAATTTTGCACACAAAAAATAAAAACATGCGAAAAAAAAAATATTAAACAAACATGCTTTTAAAACAAAAGCAAAAATTAAAAACAAACAAGATCCTATACAACCACTAAGTCATTCTATGAATAAAACCGATAGAATGTACAAGACTAGTAGTTTACAATTGCGAAGTGAATTTTTTTTTTCTTATGTCTCAATTGATAGCATATGTTACATATTTATATGCACTCATCTCTCTATAGATTAGGAATATGTCTAATATAAAAAAGATCATGTAATTAAATCTCCTCCAATTGAGTTACCTAATATCAGGCGTCATAGTATACAAACCTTAGATTTAATACTTTCCATAACACTCCACCTCAAATTGGATCAAACATATTTATCATGCCCAACTTATTATAGATATAAGTGATCATTGCTCTATTAAGGGCATTTATAAAGATGTCCCATTGTTGTTCTCCAGTCTTTACATGAGCTATAGAAATCAAATTTTGTTAAATTCATTTAACGAACAAAATGACAATCTATCTCAATATGCTTAATTCATTCATGGAAGATAAGCTTTGAAGCAATCTGAATTCCGGCTTGATTATCACACTACAACTTTACCAGAGCTGCCAACTTAAAACCCATTTCAATCAGGAATTGTGAGACCTCGTCAATTCACTCAAAGAGTGTCATTGCTTGATACTCAAATTACGCACTCGATCAGACACTACATTTTATTTCTTACTCTTCCAGAAGACCAAATTACCACCAACAAAAACATAATATCCAGTAATGGATCTTCGATCAGTATTAAAACTTACCCAATCTGCACCAAAAAAAAATCAATATTTTTATGCCCCTGATTCTGATATAGAATCTCTTTTCCAGGAGCTCCTTCGAGGTAACATAGTATATGTTCCAGAGTTGATCAATGATGGACAATGGGAGGATGACATGAACTAACTTCTAGTGCTAACTGAGCATGCAATATCGAGGTGAGTCACTGTGAGGTAAATTAACTTTTCCACTAAATTCCTATATTGCTTGGGATCATTAAAAGATTATCCATCCTTGGTAAGTTGTCAATTAGAACAGTATCATAGTAATGCATGGTTTGACTCCTAATTTTTATGTTTCTGGTAGCAAATCTAAACATACTTCCATTGAGACAGAAAAATACCCTTCTTGCTCCTTAATACCTCAATCCCCAAAAAGTATATTAAGGAACCCAAAACCTTAGTGTTAAACTAATTTTAAAGAAATGATTACAATGATACAATTCTCTGCACATCACTTCCATTAATTATAATGTCATCAACATACAAACTACCAACAGAATGATACCATAAGCAAATTGATTGTAGAATCCAGTGTGATCACTTTTACTCTTATGCATCCCAAATTCTATTATTGCTTGACTAAATCTTTAAAACCATGCCCGAAGGGCTTTGCTTCAATCCATATAGTGACTTCAAAAAATGAAATACTTTCCCAGGCTCCCCTAAAGCAACAGACCCAGAAGGTTGTTTCATGTATACCACTTCTAAAAAATCACCATGCAGAAAGGCATTCTTCACATCAACTGGTGTAGTGGCCATTGTTCATTGCAGCCAAAGACAACAAGAGGCGAACCAGAGTCAATTTAGCCACAGGATAGAATGTGTTCAAGTAGTCAATTCCATAAATTTGTGCATAGCCCTTAACAACCAACCGACCTGTGAGAGAATATACAGATCCATCAAAATGAAACTTAACCACAAAGACCCATTTACAGCAACAGCCTTCTTACCATAAGATAATTCAATTAGTTCTTAAGTTTCAGTTTCAGTTTCAGTTGACTGTAATCTAGATACCTTCTAATTATTTTTTAGCAACTTCTAATAAGTTTTCTTTGTATGACCAAGTTCTTGGCAATACTAGCAAACTTCCCTCAAGCCATGATTTCTTAAATTTACAGTTCAACTTCCATAATTGCCCTAAGACTGAGATTTACTGATATCTGTATTTTTATGGCTAGCAAGAGCGCTAGGTTATTGCATGTGTGAGGCCTGAGAATTCGGATTAGTACGCAACACTCTAGTATAAGATTCCCTCAGAGTAGTAACTCTTGGATCTACGATTTGACACCTTCATATTGTCAGTTGGGCTAACTAGAAAACTCATAAAAGTCATTTACTCTCTTTGAACCTGCTAAGTCCGGACATCAGTACTAAAGAACAATAGTGCAATCAATTCTTCATAAACACGTTGAAAGTACATGTGATAGTGTTAACAGTTTGATCCAATTGTTCAACTCAAAAAAACTCTTGCATACATTAAAGATTCGAGAAATATTGTTCTTTCATAAAACATGAATGACAAGTCCTTCGTCGCATCATTTACACAGTCACAATGAGTAATATGACAATATTAATCAGATTCGATAGAGAGATGTATTTGTATCAGAAGATGGGCAACAATTCTCATCCATTCAAAGTAAGTCGGATCAATTTCAGTTGGGGGACTCAACAAAATATCTCTCTTGAAATATACTTCTTAAGTAGAGTCTGAAAGTTTTATTTCAATAAAAATAATTGATGTCATTTAAATTTTCATCTGAAATATTAGCCACCAAACCAAGCAAAATATATTTTTTGTTTCACGACCATGATTATCACCAATTATTCAAGCATATTGAATCCAACAATCTGATCCAAATGATTTCAACAAATCAATAAGTCCAATCGAACTTACGAATGAATATCATAACACGACGGCACGGACTGACATTTGACGGAGACGAAGATGGAGTTGAAGCTTTATTCGATCACGATCCTTTGGGAGACAAGAGCACAACCCTCCCCTTACAACAGCTAAAGACGATGTCGATGAGTTGCTTCCGAACGAAGATGTCGAAGACTAATTTGAAGTAGAAGAAGACGATGACAAACCGAATCACTTCTTGATGAAAACGAAGCCTGGCGAAGAAGTTCCGGCAATGAAGAAGTCGAACGATGAGCTTTCGGACCATGACGAAGCCGACGTTTGTTCTTCAATGTCTTAATCCCATAGTCTTCGAAGAGTGGTTCAGATGAACGGACGAAGCAGACGAACGATCCACACGAGCGGACGAAACAAATGAGCCAAAAAAGCGGTCAAAGCAGACAGGACGAACGAACCAAGCAAGAAAAAGATGTTTACCAAGTGATCCAAGCAAGCTATGCCCTAATCCTGTTGATGCAGACATAACAAACAAAGTTGACAAGAAGAATGACATCGACCGAGCGATCTAAACGTGCGATCTATACGATGCTAACAACGCCGAACAAACGAGCAATATAGACAAGGAATACCATTTGAAGTGAAAAACTTATTTTCTTTTCATTCCTCAACTGAAATCATATGTTACATATTTATATACACTCATCCCTCTATAGATTAGGAATCATCTAATATAAAAAAAAATATATTAGATCTCCTCTAATTAGATTACCTAATATCAAGCTTCTTAATATACAAGTTATCTAATATACAACCATTAGATGTAATACTTTCCAAAACAACAATAATCTACTAGTTAATCCATTTTGCACACCATTTCGATACAGTAAATAATATTAATAATAATAATAATAATAATAACAAATAAATAAATAAATAAAAGAGAATGTGGACTGTAACTTAAACAGAAACAGAATTAAAAGACAACTAGAAGTTTACACAAACATGGAAGTAGAAGTAAGATTAACAATGTTTCACAAGAATGTGAGTTTTATCTAAAAAGCAGAAACAATGTTGATATTCACACAAAGAAATCATGGCCAATATTGAGCACAAAAAAAATCACAGCAAGATGATAACTAGTTCATAATCTCTAGTATATACAACAGCTGAATCTGTAGATAACTTTTGAACTGTGCACGCGCTACCTTAAGGCAGACAAATGTAGTAGCCCTGCAACTGCAGGAAACGGCTGATAGATACAAATATTGTTGGCATATGATGCACGTATGATCCTGCAATATTTCAAGGAATTGCAATTTCATCAGAAGAAGGTTCAGAAAATCTTAGATATGAAAAGTCATGAAAATTCAATGAGACAAGCCATACCTCTTCAGTGCCAACATACATAGGATTTTTCTTTGCGGCCATCATACATGACCTGAAAACGCCATTTTTCCAAAGTTCTTCTCTAGTACTCTTCTCACTAATATATATCCTGTATAATTCTTCCTTCAGATGTGGCAAGGCTTTTCCATCACATGTACTCTGTAAAAGCTCACAAGAAAGAAACAGAAAAGAATTAAACTCAATGATGGAAACTGTAGGAAATACCTTTTATAGGCCAGAACAATTGCAAGTGTCTAAAATACATTGACTGAGTATAATTAAAAACAGCAAAAAAAGCTGAAATTAAAGTTCTGATCAATCAAATAGTATCAATAATCTATGAAAGGGCACATCAAACTGAAAAAATGTCAGAAAACCTCAACATCCTAGAGAATGTAAAACTACACAGACAGGAACATTAATTGAAGATGTGCGAGTCAATAAAGCAGGAGTCACAAATGAAATGGGTCTTCGGTTTTTCATCCATTTTAGTTGGTACCAAAACTTTCTGGTAAAAAAATTTATTTACAGCCAAGTTATTGTGTTAATTCATAGAGCAAAGCTTTTTATTCTCCTATGTGAGTAATGAAGCATGAACAATTCCAAAACCTGAAAGAAAACGTCCACTCACATATAATGAAGTACAAGGCACTCACATCAACATTAAAATCCTTAAAAAAACAAGAAAGCCAACAACCTATGTTAGAGCACAATGCAAATATGTGGAATAGTTTTCACAGTTCTGCAGATTTAAAATGTTCTGAAGCTTTGATGTCAACAACAATAGATTGTGATATCTAAATTTTATCAGTATGATGATGCCAGAAAGGATGTCAATTTCTTAATTAAGGCACGTCAAGGTTTAGTTTCTTTAATTAGAAATTTATGATAGCTGCAAGTTGGTGATCTGAAGCCGGGCTTATTTAGAAATTTATGATAGCTCCAAATTCCATACGGCTTATTTGGGATCATTTTTGTCTTTTTATTTCTACTTTTGATTTATAAAAATGTTTCTTTGGTGAATTTTTTGTAGGTTTTTATTTTTGTATTTAAATAAAATTAGCTTGTTTCTAAAAACACTCAAAACAAATAAATGTTGATTTGAGTGCCATTAAAAACAACTATAAAAGGTCATATCATACTACATATGTTTAGTTTTAAATCAAAACATAAGCAAAACAAAATAAAAATAAAAAACAAAAATTAAAAAAACTTAAAAGCGATCCCAAATGACCCCTCAGGCAATGCAGCTCATAGCATTAGCTCACTTCGCGGATGCGTAATCAATGAAATATGTGAACTTATCTATAGGAATTTTCAATAGGAAGACACTGTAATACTCATATAAGCAAGCAAACGCAGAAGCTTTCAAAGCTCGAAATCAGCTCAGTTTAAAGTTAATTCAAAAGACTTTACCTTCCTTAAAGAGCATTATTTAGAATCGGGTAGATGAAAGAAAGTTTAGTAAATCTGGCAAGAAAAATGGTAGTTGAGGGAGAGAATTCGCCATTTATATTCAGTCGACAAAAATATGCACATTAGTTTAAAGCCTTTTAGTCCTGCAGTTAATTGAAGGGTTGAGAATTGTTAGCGAAAACATTAAATAGGAAGCTTGCATATTAGGTAGCCTAATTAAAGAAGATGATCTTTTATATTAAGTATATTCCTAATCTATAGAAATATGAGTGTCTATAAGTATGTAACATATGATTCCAATCAAGGAATAAGAAGAAAGGAAGTTTTCCTCACATGGTATCAGGCTACACAACTCCCTTCTTCCGCATCGTTCCCCGCACACAAGTGCGGCCTTGACCGCGTCGATTGTCTTCGTCGACGTCGATCGTGGCATCGTTCGTCATCAACCTACATTGCAACGTTCGTCAAAGATTCATCATCGATCTTCTACAACTTCATTATCGTCGGCTTCTTATGTGACTTTTTCGATCGTCTCCTGTCCTTGGCAGCAATGAATAATTGTCACCTTCCACGAACTGAATGTGAAGAATGTTTTTATTTATGGTGATTTGTTTGAAGAGATATAAATGGAGCAACCTCTTGAGTTTGTTGCTCATAGGGTGTCTGAGAAAGTATGTCGTCTTCAGAAGTTTCTATATGGATTAAAGAAAAGCCTTCAAACATGGCTTCAAAAATTTAGCCAAGCAGCAGAAAAATTTGGGATGCATAAAAATAAAAGTGATCACACAATGTTCTATAAGCAAACCGCTTCAGGAATCATTCTATTAGTGGTTTATATTGATGATATTATTGTTACTAAAAAAAATTTGTAAGGAATCTTATCATTAAAATCATTTACTCAAAATTAATTCTACACTAAAAATTTGGGATCCTTGAAATACTTCTTGTGAATTGAGATATCAAGGAGCAAGAAAACAGATATTTTTCTATCTCGACGAAAGTATATGTTGAATTTGTTAGCAAAAACTGGAAAATTAGGGGTCGAACCATGTCATACTCTGATACATCCTAATCAACAACTTATCAAGAATGGAGAATTTTTAATGATCCTAAATGGTATAGGAAATTAGTGAAAAAATTAAACTACCTCACAGTAACTCAACCAGATATTGCGTATTCAATTAGCACTACAAGTCAGTTTATGCCTTCCCCCACTGTCCATCAATGGTCAGCTTTGGAGCAAATATTATGTTACCTCAAGAGAGCTCCGAGACAAATTATATCAGAATAATGGTCATAGAAATATTATTGATGTATACTGGGCAAGCTTCAAGATTGATGGAAGATCCATTATTGGATGTCGTAAGAAATAGAATGTAGTGTCACGGTCTAGTGTTGAATATGAGTATCGAGCAATGGTAAAAGCTTCGAGTAAATGATGTGGTTCTTTCAATTCCTGACTGAAAAGGTTTTTATGATGACTATTCCAGCAAAGTTGTGTGATAACTAAGTTGCAATTCATATTTTTTCTAACCATGACTTCCATAAACGAACGAAACACATTGAGATATATTGTCATTTTGTTCGTGAAAAGATTCAACAAAATTTGATCCCTACAACTCATGTAAAGACTACGGAAAAACTAGGAGACATCTTCACAAAGACCCTCTTAATAAAGCAAAAGTGATTTATATTTATAAAAAGTTGGACATGATCAATATCTATGCTCCAACTTAAGGGGGGGTGTTATGAAAAATGCTAAACATGAAGCTTACATATCAGGTAAACTAATTACAGAAGCTTTAACATCAAATATTTTTCTATTAGCTATATTCCTAATCAGTTGATAGAGGAGTGTCCATAAGTATATAACACATGATTTCAATTAGGGCATAACAAGAAAAGAAGTATTCCTCACAAGAAAACAAAGGATTAAAAAGCATGAAAACAGCTCGACTTAAAGTTAATTGGAATTACTTTATCTTTCCCTAGAAAAGGGTAGTTAAAAGAAATATTAGTATATCTCGCAAAGAGAATGATAGTGAGAGAGAGAATTCGTTGTTTCTATTCATTCAACACAAATATGCCTTTTAGTTTAAAGCCTTATAGTCCTGCAGTTAATTGATGGGTTCAGAATCAAGCAGCCTAGTCTCTAAAATTGGGGTTGAACCACTTTACCCTTAGGGATACTAGATGGATACATAAGAACATTTATGCTATAAATTTAGTGTTTTCAAAGGTCTAAATCAAGCAAACAGATTCGTGCAAATGTCTTTGAGCTTGATGTTGGAGAAGATCCAAGTTAGACTGCTAATTAAAGCCTAGAGATAGAGGTTCATTCACTTAAGCTTGATTGAAGGGTTACCACATATCTTAAGGTGATCCAACAATGCAAATTCAAAACTACTTGAGTTGTCCTATCACCAATATACAAAATTCGTGTAAGCATGAAAAATGCATGTCACTTAGAAATAACCAAACCCATCCCACGAGCTTCCTCAATATGATGTAAAGACCAAGGAGTAATTTTTCTCATGGCAGATTAAATTTAGCTAAATATATTTTTTTTATATTAGATAAGGGTATATTTAGCTTTAGAATGAAGACTTCCTATAGATAAAAAACCCAAGAATTAAATAATTCTCCAAATTAAGGAAGTTTCATGTGTTTGCAATTTAAGCTTAAATATGATATTTAGGCTTGAACTTAATTTAATGGAGAACGTCTTAGTGACGCAACCAAACACCATTAAGTTCCCACAATTTTAACAACCTAAATATATTGACGGACATGGCATACAACATCAAAGGGCTTTAACCAGTTATAGTCAAGGAGTCTGATTAGTAATTGTGGGTTGCCTCCATTCAAGTATCCCAAGCAAACAGGGATGGACAAGCATGTCAAAGCCATGATTTTGAGATTTAAATCGACTTATTTTAGGGTTAGGAAGTTTTCCTACCATTTTTCATTGAATATATTAGAGACGGAAAGCATGGTTGCTTGTACCTAAGAGGCACCAGAAATAACCAATAAGAGGTTGACATGTATGTCAAAGCCATGATTTTGAGATTTAAATTGACTTATTTTAGGGTTAGGAAGTTTTCCTACCATTTTTCATTGAATATATTAGAGACGGAAAGCATGGTTGCTTGTAGCTAAGAGGCACCACAAATAACCAATAAGAGCTTGTCAACCAGTTTCATTATGACAAGGAGAAGCGAGTTTGAGACGAAGTGATTCATTGGTAGCTCTACGTTTGATTGGCAGGCAAATCAGAGTGACAATTGGCATGAATTTAATTTGGGATGGAGCTTATATTCGATGAAGGGCATGGGAAATAAGCATACTTTGACAAGCTAGTCAGCTTTGTGTTGACCCATTAAAAAGATAGGAGTATCAATAAATGACCCACCCCGAACCTGACTTGAAAAATCTAGAATGGAGTTGATTCACTATTCAATTGGATTGAGTCAAAATGGTGGACCAGATTATTATTCAAGTCAATTTGGGGTTAATCCAAATATGACCATTTTATTCATGTTTAGGCTAGAAGGACTCATATTAGGTTAATTGGGGTTAAAAATGTCATATTTAGGTTAATTGAGTTGTTTTGATAAAAAAATTTTATATGGTACATAAAATAAATAAGTTACACATGCTAGATTTTGGTTAGATGAGATCAAGTCAACTATTTTGACAAAACAAATAGATAATAATCCGATCAAAGTATATTAGAGTCAAAT